TGGACGGTGATGAGATGACCAGGTACAGGCGCGACGTCCCTATTTTTTTCCGTTGTATTCAGAACAATTGTTCCGGTTTCTTCGATTGCGCTGTGTCTTTTCATGCTCTACGTGCTCGCCGCACACACCTGCATATGGTGGTCGGTCACAGTGCTAACCAAGTTTGTGTGTAGGATCATCTGGCAGATGATCAAGGACAAGCTTATCCTGCCCTACCTGGACCTCAACATCCAGTACTTCGATCTCGGCCTGCCCTACCGTGATGAGACCAACGATCAGGTACCCACCTGCCACTGTCCTAGCCTTGCGCCTTCTCTAATCTTCCTTAATTTTGAACAACCTGTGATTCATTTACATGCACCATACAGAAGGATACTGTTGAAAAATTTTCACCCAAATGAAACGAATGAGGTCATCGATTTATGTTTGCATTCATCTTGACTCGAATGCATTCGAGCGACTCAGTTCTGATCTGTTCTATCCGGTTCAGGTCACCGTTGATGCTGCTGAGGCCATCAAGAAGTGCAACGTCGGCATCAAGTGCGCTACCATCACCCCCGACGAGAAGCGCGTCGAGGAGTTCAAGCTCAAGGAGATGTGGAAGTCCCCCAACGGGTACGTGTTTCGCCTCAAGAGCCTTGCAACCCACTTTGCGCGAACAACGCTCGTGTGGTGCAATTTAATTAACTTTGTTATTTATTATTTGCTTCTATTTTAAATTACAGCACCATCCGTAACATCCTGGGCGGTACCATCTTCCGTGAGCCCATCCTCGTCAAGAACATCCCACGCCTCGTCGGCGGCTGGACCGAGCCCATCGTGGTCGGCCGTCACGCCTTTGGTGACCAGTACCGCGCCACCGACTTTGTGGTCAAGAAGGCCGGCAAGTTCCAGATCGTCTTCACCCCCGACGATGGCAGCGACAAGGAGGTCTTCGACGTCTACGCCTTCCCCGAGGGTGGCGTCGCCATGGGCATGTACAACATCGACTCGGTACGGCCCGGCCTCTCTCCCATCTCCACCAACTCCCGGCGCTTGGTCTAATCAGAGCCCCTGTCCACCACACACACGCACAGTCGATCGTCGGCTTCGCCCGCAGCTGCATGGCCTACGCCCTGCAGAAGAAGTACCCGCTGTACCTCTCCACCAAGAACACCATCCTCAAGAGATACGATGGTCGCTTCAAGGACATCTTCCAGGAGGTCTACGAGAAGTACGTCTCGTCGCTCTACCGCTCACCAACTCAATCTCATGAGCCGTGTTTTAACGAATTGTTTCTTGCATTTCACACTCCCAGGGAGTTCGAGGCCACCTACAAGGCTGCCGGCATCTGGTACGAGCACCGCCTCATCGACGACATGGTCGCCTTCGCCATGAAGGACAAGGGTGGGTTCGTCTGGGCCTGCAAGAACTACGATGGTGACGTGCAGTCCGATTCCATCGCTCAGGGTACGTTCACGCTCCCTCTACATGCCACACCTCTTTTACTTTCGGCATACACCCCCGCGATGAGGAAGACATACAACCACCTGAGACCTTTTACATAATGCTGTTTCCAAACATGAGATTTCTGTCTGAGCGTCAGCGCCACGTGATGTTCTTTTGTTTGCTCTTTACCCATCGCTGACTTGGCCTCTTCTCCTCTCAGGCTTCGGCTCGCTCGGTCTGATGACCTCCGTCCTGATGACCCCCGACGGTAAGACCATCGAGGCTGAGGCCGCTCACGGCACCGTGACCCGTCACTACCGCGTCCACCAGAAGGGTGGCGAGACCTCGACCAACCCCATCGCCTCGATCTTCGCCTGGTCGCGCGGTCTTGCCTGGAGGGCCAAGCTCGACAACAACGACAAGCTCGCCAAGTTCTGCGATGCCCTCGAGCAGGTGTGCATTGAGACCATGGAGGCTGGCTTCATGACCAAGGATCTGGCCCTCTGCGTTAAGGGCAGCATCGACAAGTACGCTCCATCCAGCCACTCCCTCGATCCCATTGACGCAGGTCGTGTTCACGTCTGACAACACACCACACACCACACACACACACGCACTACAGGGTTACGAGGTCCGACTACCAGAACACCGAGGAGTTCCTGCAGAAGCTGGCTGACAACCTCGACGCCAAAGTCAAGACCCTCTTTGTAAGGAGCAACGCCAAACTCTAATCTCGTTCTCGTGCGCGCTTTCTTCGTTTGTGTGTTCCCTCCTCTACTTAGTTATTTTTTTACTCTCTTTTTCGCTGTGCCTTGTGTGTCAATACATGTTCTCCTCACCTCCCGCACACAGCCGGAACTGACATCCCACTTCGTTTCCACTTTTCTCTCTCTTCAGGCCTAAGCGTCTCCTCAACCACTGCAGCTGCCTGACCAGACACAGGTGCCTCTCTGAAGCTCAAACAAATCTCTCTCCAGTCCAGAATGTCTTCTTCTGTAACAAGAGGCTTTCTGTGAAGAGTAAACTGCAAGTCAAACAAAAATTGATTGTCTTTTCTTTCTTGAAAGGTGTCGTCTTGGCTTTGTACATCTTCATGTACCACCCCGGTTTTACGGATGTGAGGTGCGAGGTGGGGCCTTGGTGGGGGCGCTGGCCCGTGCCTCCTTCGCACCCGGAGGTGTGCAGGGAGGAGCTCGAGGCCGAGGAGAAGCGGCGCAGGCTCGTGGAGCAGGAGGGCGCCCTCTTCGTGCCGCTGTCGCTGGTCGACCTGTGCGTGCGCCTCGTGCGGCGCCTGGCCACCCTCGAGTCGGCCTTCTGGGAGGGCATCGAACGTCAGCGCCTACCCACCGCGCTGGCCGACACCCTCAAGACTGCTCGACCCCACAAGGCACGCCATTATTTATATAAAATAGATAAATAAGTAGATAAAAAAACTAAATAAATAAAAGTAATTTGTGTGACGTGTAGCGGCCGTACGAGGTGGTGGCGATGAGCTCGGTTCCGCCCGAGCACGTCCGGGTCTGGTCCTTCCCCGTACGTGCCAGCGCTGTTTCATGTTCATCTTCATCTTCTTCTCTTCTTCTCTTCTACGGTAAGGGTGGTTGATCACAACCATGGTCTCACCGGGCTGGACACCTGTGCAGGTGCACCCGGCCAAGTTGACGAAGCCGACCTTCTGGTTCAGCGTGGACCTGGTTCGGGGCGTGGTCGACTACCTCCGCGTGCTGGCCGCCGTCTCCTCGCACAGGGAGCTGACGGACCAGAGGTGCGTGAGGTCGGCCATCGAGCGCTACCGGCACCACTTGGCCCGCGTCGCCGCACTCCACAAGAAGCACCCTGGCCGTAGGCCCGAAGGTACTGTCGCCCTGCCCAGGCTCCTGGCAAGCTGATGCTGGTGGTTCACCCGCGCAAACCATCACAATGGGGTGGAATGCCAGATATGCCACGGGCGCCGTTGGATGTGGAGATGGTGTGGCTCGCCCACATGACCCGTACCAAGCACTACCGCGAGGTGCACACACGCACCACCGCACACACGCACCACCGCACACACCGCACACACACTACCGCACGCGCACGACGGTTCGCCGATTGCTGACTGAGATTTCGCCAGGTGTGTGAGCTCAACTTTGGCGCGCTGGTGGACCACAGGCTCCCCGCGACCACCAGTCTTGTCCTGCATTCGACCTCCGACCCCGCGACGTCGCAGGACTGGCGCCGTCTCGACGCTGACGGGCTGGCCCATGAGCCCGCCGGCACAAAGGACGGGCTGGGCGTCGACTTGGCCCCGGGTGACGTCATCAACGACCAGGCCTGGCTGGCGCAGTTCGTGAGCGCCGCCGCCCACGCGCGCGCCCGATGGGAGGGCCGACCACCGCAGCGGCCCGAACCGCAGCCGATCCAGCGCGCCGCCGAGCTGGTCGAGTGGTTCATCGAGCGCCTGCTCGAGGCCCCGGCTCCAGTCGACGGTCGCCCCAGCCCGAGCCTGGCCGACCAGCTCCTCATGGGTTCGTCTTGATGGTGATGGTGATGATGATGACGATGGTCGTAGCTGACCACAGCTGTCGCACAGGGTACGAGAAGATGATCTACCTGGTGGCGCGCCACCCGCACAGGACGCGGAAGGAGTTCTCGCCGCCGTTCCTGGTGGACCTCGTGTGGCACGTCCACCAGGCCCACCCGGTGGCCTACCGACGCGACATGACCAGGTAACAACGACGCGCCCACTGTCAACAGTCAAGTGACTCAAGCTGGCCTGACCCTTGGGGCGTGGGCCAGGGTGGCGGGCGTGGTGTTGGAGCACCACCCGTGGCCCAAGCCCGCGGAGAGCGGCAGTGGCGGGCTTTCGCAACGGAGCGCCGTGGCGCTGTGGAAGGAGGAGTTCAGCGTAGATTCCTTCCACGCGTGCGAGCTCACCCATCTCTTTCGCTCTTGAATGTTGATGGTGGCCATCTTGTGGGAGAGATGTCAAAGTCCAAGTTGGACTACGGCGTTGACCTTAAAAACGTTACAGACACGGCCGTACGCGTGTGCGTGACGTGACATATGCGGCTGCTCATACGCGGGTGGGTGGCCCCCACGGCGGAATCAGTGCGATGGCAGACGGGCTTCGATGACGTTGACCCCGCCCTCGGCGCCGGCCACCTGCGTCAGCTCGAGGCCCGCAGTGCGGAAGAGGGCTGTGAACTCGGCCTTGGTTCTCTCCTTGGCGCCCAGCATCGTCATCATGTCTGTTGCGTTGGTTAGTTGCTTAGCAGCATTTCACCCACGACACGACACGACACGACACGACACGACACGACACGACACGACACGACACGATGCCGAGTCCACGTACGAAGATCAATGGCTTTGGCAAAGCACGGTTGTGAGCCCATGGGCACGGTGTACTCCACGAGCAGCACCTTGGCGTGGTCCGGCATCGCCTTTCTCGTCGCCTTCAAGATCACCTCCGACTACGCTCACACACCTCTCTCAGCGCACGCGCATATGCCCTACCGCACACGCACACGCACACGCACACGCATACATCACACGCACCTTCTGGTCGTCCCAGTCGTGGATGATGTGTTTCATGATGTAGGCGTCGGCGCCGGCCGGGATGTTGGAGCTCTCATCGAGAAAGCTGCCGCCGTGGACCTCGACCCGGTCCTTGAGGTCGTCCGGCACCACCGCGTCCGCCACAACGTCGGGCAGGTCGTACAGGTGGCCCTTCGCGATGTGCCGATACCTGCGCAGCACCGCAAACAGCAGACTGCATAGGTGGAAATGATATAAAACAGATGATGACGTCAGCCACCACCTCAAGCAGCTCAGAACTCAATTGGGGGAGAGCGGGCACATGCCTGCCCAGGCTGCCGCCGATGTCGACGAGGGAGGTGATGCCGGCGAAGTCGTAGCAGGCCAGCACGGCGTCGATCTCAAGGGAGGTGTAGCTGGTCATGGCCGCGTTGAAGATCTGCTGCTGTCGCGGGTTGCCCTCAATGTAGGACCACAGCGAGTCAGCGCCCAGGGTGTGCTTGACCGAGGGCTGGCCGGTCCTCACCGTCTGCAGGAATCCCGACCACGCCCTGACACACACCATTCATCGCACGCACACCACACACCACACACACGCACACCACACACACCACACCACACACCACAGATTACGTTTTACCACACACAACGCACGACACGCGGGGGGGGGGGCTTTACGTGTAGTGGGCGTGGCTGGCCTCGAGCAGGACTGCCGAGCGCATAGAGTTGGGCACGTCGCTACGGAGCAGTTGGGTGGTGTCGTTCAGCCCAAACGTGAAGGTCTTGTGGTAGTCCACGTCCTATTCACACATCACACAAGGTCAGTGTGCGGCGTGTGCGGTGTGTGCAGAGGTCATCCTCTTCCGACGTACGTCGTCGGACCCGGTGTAGTGCATGTCGAGCACGCCCAGGCCGGCCACGAAGCGGAGCACGCGGAACAGGGCTCGTGGGTCCACGTCGGGAACCACAGCCGCGATCTCCTCAGCCGAAGCCCGACCGCCCTGACCACGCACACGGTAAGAACCGGCCATCATTTTCCAGAGAAAGCAGAGGCCTTCAAGGCGCCAAGCACCTGGTTGTGAATGGCGTCGGCGACGCCCAATTCGACCACTGCGTGGAGGGCCTTCGAAGCCCAAAAGCCTGAGCGGGGGTGTGGAAGTAGAGGAGTAGTTAAAAAACTATGTATATATATATGTCATAGCCCAGAGACGTTATTAGGCCAAGTCACAGTCAGCAAGCTGAAGGACAGCAAACCAGTGGTGATCTGCATGATAAGCTCCGCCATTTGTGGGTGTCGCTGGAGGTAGAGGTGTTGTGTCCAACAAAAACAAAGAAAAGAAACAAGGAAAAGTGTCGGTTCGCTAAATAATAATAAATAGCATGTATCGAAAATTATGGCAGCTCGCCACATATGGGGGGGGGGCTTCTAGAAGGTGCCTCCGACTTCTGTGAGGCCGCGACACTGGAGCGCAAACTCTGACACTACCCGCTCGAATCGCTCCCTGTTCTTGATGCTGCACAACACACGACACGACACGACACGATACGCATGGCCGCACACACCCAGGCAAGAAGCAAGAACGAATGACGAATGTCAATCATAGGGACAGCGCAAGGCGAGCGGCGGTAACGATGGGGTTGGTGGTGGTGGTGGGAAAGAAAAGAACCTCATGGCGTCGGTGATGAACTTCTTCTTCTTATCCGGCGAGATGACGGCCGACGGAAACGAGGGCACCGCGAACAGCTCCGTCGCCCACTCGCGGTACCAAGTGGGCCGCACGTTGACCAACGCGCTCAGCAGGCGCGCCACGGGCGCGAACTCAGATCGCGACAGCGGGCCGGCGAGACCCTGCCAAGGTTCCAGAGCTCAATGCGTCGTGTCGTGTATTGTGTGCTGCGCGTGTCGTGTCGTGGTGCGTGTCGTGTCGTGTCGTGTCATGGTGCGTGTCGTGTCGTGTCGTGCGGGGTGTACCGTGAATAAAGTGTGGAGGAGGGTCTTGCCGTGCTTCTGCAGCAGGGCGTCCCTCACGGCCGCCGCGTGCTCGTTCCGGTCTTCGCTCGTCACGGCCTGAAGCAGCGAATGGACCGCCTGGCAGGTCGCGACGACCCACGGTGGGTCGATCATCAGTCCCGGCCCGACGACGAGCGCAATGGAAGAGAAGAGAAGGCAAGGCAAGGGGGAGGACCTGCAGGACGCGTCGCTCCTTGAAGACGAGGAGCGAGGCGACGGCCGACTGGTACACGGTGTCGAGCAGGTTGAGCGGGACCACCTGCGGATTGAACCGCCAGAACTGCAGCAGCAGATCTTTGTAGTAGGCATCGACCAGGTCCGGGTCGACCTGGTTCGCTCCTGAAACAACGAGACAACCAAAATCAATCAATCAATCATTAAAAGAATAATAATGTAAAGATAATTAAATATAAATATAAATAATAATAGATACCCTGCGACATGATGGTGAAGAAACTGGTCGAGATGGCGGTGATCGCTCCGCTCAACCACTCCAGCGCCTGCGCATGGGAGGCTTTACAAAAATTTCGAGTCAGTGCGTGTGCGGCGATCACTCGCATACGCGTGTGTGTCGTTGCGTGCGTGTGTCGTGTGTCGTGCGCGTACTGGCATTGAATATGTTGGCGGTGACGGCGAGCAGGGATACGAGCTGCGGGTTGTGGTGCCGCTCGAAGCTGCCGGTCAGGAGGGCCGTGAGCATGGGCAGGAGCGGCAGGAAGTAGGCCTTCATCGACAGCAGCGAGTGCCGCAGTATCTGGCAATTGGCCTTGATGATGCCCGAGTCGCCCGAGCAGTTTTTGAAGCAGAAGTCGAGCACGGGCCACACGGCCTTAAGAACCGGCATTAGCGGATGGTCGTCTGGCTGGCCTAAGAGCACTCACACAGCGTCAGATGATATACGTGTGTCGTTATGTGCGTGTCGTGTGCGTGTGCGTGTGCGTGTGCGTGTCGTGTGTACCGGAGGTGAGCGAGGGGCAGTCGAGGCAACGACACACACCAGCGACTGTGCTCAGTTCGGCGATCAACGCTTGTCGCGTGTACTGCGTTTGCTCCTTTTCGAAACAAAGTTAAAAGAGTCGAAGATGAGATGATGAAATCGTTCGTAGCTGCAAAGTAAGCAATTGAAAACTACCTGAATGGCGAGAATGGCGGTTATCTTTTGGATGACCGGCGGGACGATCCGCTGTAGGGCTTGGAGCGCTGGCTGGTGCGGTATCGTCGCGATGATGTGCGTGAGCGACTCAATCATCGCGCCGCGCTCCCGAGCCTGTTACACACAAACACCACAACACGCACACGCACAACGACACGACGGATGCCTAAGCCCCTTGGCTGTAAAGTCGACCATCGCGCGATGCGGGGTCAACGGTACGCTGAAGCTATCGGAGAGACTCTCGTATGTGGCCAGCATCGGCTCGAGGACTTGGTGCAGGTGCTTGCCGCACTTTTCAGTCAACTGCTTCAGCGACGTGAGGGCTGCGGGCGACGGCGGCGGCTCGTTAGCCGGCAGCACGGGCCAAGGGGAGTGGGAGGGAGCGCGGCGCGGTACCAGAGAAGCGAAGCAGCGGCGAGACGGTGGTGCTCAGCAGGTAGCGAATGGCAGGTTCGAGGCAGGTCGGATGCTTTTTGAACCAACCGGCAAGCTCGCCTGCAATTGGGGACAGCAACGAAGAATAAATAACTGCAACTTCAAACTTCCACCGCCAAAGGCACGAACCAATGAGGCGGATGGCCGTAGCAGCGACCAGGGGCGTGGTGGGCAGAACAAAGAGGAGCTGCCCAATGATCTGCAGATGAACGGTTCAGTGAGTCGCCCAGTTGTTAGGCGGGACCCACGGGCAGACAAACCTGAGGCAGAAACGTGTCTTCCGAGGCGTCTATGCCCTCCGCAATGCTGACCATTCCAAACAGCAGAGCCTGTTTACGTTCAGCCGGCAAACGCATAAGTGTCGTGCGCGTTGTGTGTGCCGTGAGTGCCGTGTGTTGGCGTGCCGTGGTGTACCTCGATGTTTCGGTGCGTGGCCTTCAGTTCAGCTTCGCCCAGACCCGGCGTCTGCATCGCGGCCAGCTCCTTCTGCATGAGCGAAACGATGATCGCCAGCGTCTCTGTAGTGCAACGTTGCACAGAAATGTGTGATTGGTTATTATAAGCCAAACGCCCTGCGGCGCTTTGAGTGAGGTATCAAAGAGGCCACGTGCCAGCTTCCAGCACGAGCTGCACATAGAGCAGCGTGTCCTTGACTTCGTTTCGGAACTCGATGAACTCGTCTCGCAGGTCTGTCAAGAGGGAGAGTGTGAAACGTACGGCCAACATTCTGATCATTCTTCTAGACGGTGAAGCCCGTTCGAGGAGGCGAACCCTTGGGCAGGTCGTCAAAGTCTTCGGGAAAGCGGGATGCTTGGACCAGCAGCGGGAGCAGGTGTCGGAACACCTGGTGGGCCACCACACACACACGCAGGACATCGGTGTGAGACATATAAATGCCAACTGGGCGCGCAGAGAGCCTGAGGCGCATACGGGCGTGTAGGCCTCTCTCTTGGGCTTGCCATCGGGTGACGAGACCAGGTACTCCTCCAGGTCGAACCAGAAGTTGAGCGTCACCATCGACACCTGAACGTGGTGTGCGTGGTTCAGCGCTGAACCTCTGCACCAAAACGCAAAACACGGTGAACTGGTAATGAATGATAATAGTTCATACCTCTCGACTCTCGTGGGACATGCACGCAAGTGCAAACTCAACGAAAGGCCGCCCGATCTCGTCGTGAGCGAATAGCTGGTGGGTGAAGCTCTCGCCGAGGCGTATCAGCACCTGGCAGATTCCCTTGGCCGTCTCCTCGTCCTCCTCTGCCATCACACGAGCGATCAAGTCGACGACTGTGAGGCTCGAGCCCACAAAGAAGGCGAATGTAGAAGAACAAGGGGAAAAAGGAGCGCGGAATGGCACCTTCCGCCGCTTTCTGGTAGCTGCTCCGCAGTCCAAGGACCTTCTGGGCGATGGCGTTGAGAGCGACGGGATACTTGT